CAATTATTTTCGTACTCTGCACCGTCCGATAGAATCAAGAGATGATGGCACCACTTCGCGTCCGCCACGCTTCTGTCCACGATGACGAAGCAACGGTACTCGAAATGTACGTGGATAGTGTGCGCTATCTGGGAAAGCCTCCAGGCCACCTGCTCCAAGGAGTCGGTCTGTCTAGGTATGGAGGGCTGCAGGGACGGAGGGGGCCGCTGCAACATGTACTATCTTGTAACAAACCAATCGGAGTCATCCAGAAAGAATCTAGCGTCAAAGCCACCTTTTGGGGGGTGTGGGGGAAACTTCCGACACATTATTACAATGAAAATCAGTAATAATAAAAGTTACATCCAGGTCCTTAGACCACCTAGCGACGACTACAAGCATTGAAGCGAGCCGAATACGTGCCACCGTCATCGCTGCTCCATTGCAAGAGTCGGGCACAACTTATTGTAGTAGACAGACGTGCTAACTTTGAAAGATAACACATCGTAGGTATATAGTTGTGTGCACTCCAATCAATGCATAGAAGGCCAACCTGGCAACAAGACTAAATCATGTGCTGATTGTATGCATGACTTCATGCTTATCTCAACAGGTGACTAAGCTGTCGATCCTTCAATTGATATATTTACTTGGAAACATGTATGTGCGTTGCAACGAGAGAAAAACCGCATGCCCCTAATCCAACAGAAAAGACATGTTGCACCACCACTTTTTCCTAACTGCAAGACATGTTTATTATAATGCTCAAGGAAAGAAAAACAATATCTTTAGCCTTCATCTGATGTTCTACCATGTAGAAATTCTAAGATTATTACCCTCCATTTCAAAATAGATGACCCAACTTTGTACTAACTTTGTAGTCATCTATTTTGGAACAGAGGGAGTACAACATAGGTTGGTCATCTATATCTATACGAACTAATAAAGGGATTAATGTTTCTGCCCATCCTTCCTAAAATTACCCTTAAAGTAGCCATAAATTACCCACTATGCTACCCATAAATTAAACGATTCGTAGTTTTCCTTCACATGTTGTGTGTGCTTTAGTTCATTTAATAAAACCCTTCAAGTGTCTTAAGAACTAAAGCAGTGCAACGGCTAGAGCCACAGTCCTACATAAGGCAGACCCGGGTTTGATTTTGTTTTCTCCCCATTTTTATCCCTGTTTCTCTTCACATTAGATGTTGTTCAGCATAGGATCAACTGATCGCCCAAGCGCACTTAGGAGATGGGCTGCGTGTAATTCTGGCCCAGCTACTCTATATTTATCCTTTCCTTTTTTGGGCAAACTCAAATGTACATTTTAAAATCATAATTTTTAAACCTTTGCTGCAAATCTAACGTGTTATATATGAAAATCCCTCAAAAAATGTGTAGATTTCAGATATGTTATTATCTCGCATGCTAATGATTTCTAAAATTGCTTTAGGAAGCAACCTTAATTCATATTCTCTCTATATGAGGTATTTTATAAACTGGTTTCCTAATACGATCTTTATGTTAATGAATGGCTTAAGCTGAGTTTCCTATTCTTTAAAATTGCACCCATAAAGATTTTTTTAAGCAAATTGTTTGCTTATGTTGTCACATGTGTGTTGAGGGATGGGTTTTTTTCTCCCGTTGCAACACAAGACATGTTTAATTTGAAAATGTTCGTGAATGATTAATTTGAAAAGTATTTATTCACGGAATTAAAAAAGGTCGAGAACGATAAATTTGAAAAATATTTTGATTCGTGAACTTTTTTTTAAGTTGTGAACATTAAAAAAATTGTGATTCACGACTTTAAAAAAATTTCGCGAACGATAAATTAAAAAATATTTATTAAAAATATTTATGATTCGTGACTTTAAAAAAATATTTGTTACGACTTTAAAAAATGTTCGCGAATGATAAATTTGAAAAATATATGTGATTTGCGAAGATTTGTTTTAAGTGGTGAACATTTAAAAAAAGTTTGTGATTCACGACTTTAAAAAAATTGTTCTCGGACGATAAATTAAAAAAATATTTATTAAAAATATTTGTGATTCGTGACTTTAAAAAAATGTCAAGAAACAAAAAATTTGAAATGTGACCTATCTGCACCCGCAACGCAAGTTATATGATGGGTTTTTCTCGAAAATAGGACAGCTGGCTGGTTCAGATGGCATATGTGACCTATCTGCACCCGCAATGCAAGTTCTATGACGGATTTTTCCAGTTTACAAGTACCGTGACTTAAGTGCACCCGCAGCGCAAGTTTCCGGACCACCGGTGCCATTTACTCACCTCCATAAACTCTTGAAGTATGGTCTTTATTTCGTGCACCACATGCCCATAAGTTGAGAGATCATTTGAAGCCGATATGATCTTGTTAACGTAGTCTGAGAGTCCATCTCCAAGACCAGTTTCTGCAAATTCATCTCGGTATTTTCAAATTGTTGGAATTATCCTTTTCCAAAGCAACTTGTGTTGCTATATATTAGTATCGTCCGTATAATTGTTGGTTGGGCTATTTTACCACGACTAACGGATTAACGTCGTTTTTATGAGAAATTGCTCTAGTGATTCGGCCCGAGTAGATTTACTCCTTGTAAAAAAAGAACTTGTTCTATGGAATGAAAGATTCATCAACCTATAAAAACAAATGGTGCCCGCAATTAATTGGCTCTGCCGTTGGCATTGGCGTTGTCTACCGGACAACCATGTCATTGGTCCTCCACGGCAAAGTATGCAAGTGCAATTAAAGCTTGGTTCATTTTGGATATGCTTATTTCCAAACTTACTAACCGCTAGGCCAGGCAAACACACAGCCGCACGAGCAAAAATCAAATCAAACAGAACACCAAAACATGGTGATAAAGGTTCTTGCATGCAAGTCACAAGAAGATTTTATTACTGGACATCATTGTCTATTGTTTGGCATGATGCTAGAGTGCAACTCTAGTTACAAATGACGCAATGACAATGGCGGTAAAAAAAAGTGCCGGCACATCTGGTTTTCCTGACATTGTCCCAGTGACGCGCGCAAACGAAATAGCATTTGAAATCCAGGCACAGTATGTCCAGGATAGGTGTATTCCTCTCCACGCAATACTCTGTAGACAACGTGCATTCGTTAGTAAGATAACTCCAGATTGAAAGGGTTCAAAGAAATTCGTGCTGTTGAGTTGGTTGGAAGGAAGAAGGAAACACACACGCACACGCACGCACGCATGCACAGGAACAGGGAGATTGATTTTGTACCAGCGCAGGCGGAATTTCCTAGCAGCACAAGCACCATGAGGCAAAGCAGAATAGTTTTGTCCCCCATAAGATACAGCAGAAACTTCTGCTTTGTCTCGTTTCTAGTATTTGGGCTTCAAGAAGGATAGATGAAGTGTTATATTTATAGACTTATAAAGAACATTTATTCCTAGTTCTCTCAAATAAGATAAAAAAGATCTCTGACCGCACTATGTCGTAAGCTCTATTTAATAGAATTAAACACGTGTTCATATATAGCAGTCCCGGCGACCATATCTTAGTCATGTATCTAAAAACAGTTCCTATTTGCCAGAGAAAACTTACGAGATGCTATGGATTTTGTGCTAATATCTATATCTAGATGAAGATACGGATGTTGTCTCTTTCGCCATTAAATGGGGTGCCGCATCAAACTTTAGATTAAGGTGGCCTGACTAACATATAATACACGGCGTACTAGCATGTTTTGTCCATTTAATGTGGTTCTACCTGTCTATGGGGGATGCTCTAAATTAATTCATTTTTCACATTGAATGGTGAATATATGTGACATGAAGAATCAATCCTATTGAATACCCTATCACTTCGTTTGAATGTTGATATTCAGGCCTAGATATTGATATTGGTATTGGATATCCCGAATTCCGTTGTTTGGATGGACAAGGAATCGGTCCAAGGAATTGGGCTGAAATATTTGATGGCCCGCTCCGAAAGCCCGTGCCTCTATCCCCAAATTCGGAGGGGAGAGCTCGATTTTTCGCTGATATTCGGGAAGCAGCCCGCAACTTGCCGCTCCGACCACTCCAGATAAGGAAGAGGCGCACTCAAGCGGGCGAGAGAGGAGGCGAGCACAGCGGCGACGTGGAGCTCCCGACGGGTCCAGCATGTCAGACCCCGTCCGCCGCCTCCTTCTTCCCTTTTCTCTCCGGCGGATCCCTTGTTCCCCCGCGTGTGGCCACGTCCCCGTTCCTCCTTCCCTTCGACCCCGCACACCCATCTCCATGCGCGCTCGCCGCCCCTTTGGCCGCCGCCTACCCCATCCGGTCCGATTTGTCTGGATCAACTCATCCGCTAAAACCAACCTCGACGCAGACTTAGAAGCATGGACTAATCGATTCGCCGAATGTTCGTCGAACGGTTTTAAAATAAAATAAAATCATGACCTGTTTTTTTAAGGGTGTAACCTGTTTTTTTCAGTTCATCCATTGTCGTCGGCGTTGGTTGGGCCTGCCTGGCCCATTAGCAGGAGGGGCCGTTGGGCCCTCGCGCGCCCCACACCGCGGCCACTCACTCACTCACACGCTCCTCATGTGCTGGACTCTCTCCTCAAAAATTGAGTCTTTGCAAGTCCAGCCGGCGGATCCATTTCCACTCCCACTCCCCCCAACGCTCCTCCGCTCCTCGCCGGCCGGCCGGCCATGGCGGCGACGCCCAGCTCCCGATCTCTCCTGCTGCTGCTCCTCCTCGCCACCCCATTCCTCCTCCTCCCCCTCGCCGCCTCCGCCGCAGTCCCCACCACCAACCCGGACATCGACCTGGAGTACCTCATCAAGAACGCCGGCCTCGACGACCCCACCCCTGCCGCCACCGACGACCCCGAGGACGGCGCTCCGGACTTCCCCGGCCTCGGCGCCGACTACGACGAGGAGGACCTCTTCGGCGACGACGACGGGCCGGAGGACTCCTCCCAGGGCCCCGAGGTGGACGAGGCCCACGTGCTCCTCCTCACCGCCGCCAACTTCACCGCCGTCCTCGCGGCCCGCCGCCACGTGATGGTGGAGTTCTACGCGCCCTGGTGCGGCCACTGCCGCGCGCTCGCGCCCCACTACGCCGCCGCCGCCTCCGCCCTCGCCGAGCAGGGCGTCGACGTCGCGCTAGCCAAGGTGGACGCCACCGTGACCACGACCTGGCGCAGGAGCACGGCGTGCAGGGCTACCCCACCCTCCTCTTCTTCATCGACGGCGTGCCCAGGGACTACGCCGGCGAGAGGACCAAGTACTAGGAGTTTCTGCAGATCCCCAATTCCCTCCCTGTTCCAGCTCCGCAGCTGCTGAGAATTTTGTTTTTGCATTGCTGCAGGGACGCCATAGTGGCTTGGATCGGCAAGAAGCTGGGCCCTGCGGTGCAGAACCTCACCGCCGTCGACGAGGCCGAGAAGGTCGTCACCGGCGACGACGTGGCCGTGCTCGCCTTCCTCGACCACCTCTCGGTACGCTACGCAATGCACCTTCTCCGGTGGCAGCAAAGTCAGACAAACCCAAAATTTCTTCAATTGCAAACCATGTGACCCACATTGACCCAAGAATCGCAACCAAACAGCTCATGTGGCCATGTTACCCCAAATTAGTTGACCACAAATGCAATGCACCTGTTCTTCTCACTTCCCCTGAATATTCTGCTAACTTAACTCACTGGATGAAATGTCAACCTGCATCTTCTGTTTCCATGCGTTCAGAACAAATCTGTTTAGCCATCGGTACGCAATGCACCTTCTCCAAGCGCACCAAAGTCAAGCAACCTAAGTTGCTTCAATTCAAACCATGTTACCCAGATTGACCCAAAATACAATGCTTGAATTGCAGCCACGCCAAACCGACCATGTGGCCATGTTAACCAAACTGAACCAAAAGTACAATGTAGCTAGTTTTCTCACTGCCTTGATTCTCTTGTTTGCACACTACTAGTAGAAAAAAAATGTCAACCTGAATGTTCCGTTTCCATGTGCTGAGAACAAATCTGAGATGCACTTATATGTTTAGCTTATTGGACAGTACATATATACAATATGGTCATGACTCATTAATTACTCTATCATCAAATGCTGTAGGGTGCTCACAGCGATGAGCTTGCTGCTGCTTCAAGGCTGGAGGATACCGTCAGCTTCTACCAGACCACTAGCCCCGATGTGGCCAAGCTTTTCCACATTGACCCGGAAGCAAAGCGCCCGTCAGTAGTCCTGCTCAAGAAAGAGGAGGAGAAGTTGACCGTTTTTGGTATCTTCACCTCCAAGTTGCTTTGGCTTTCAGCACCGGCATTTCCTTTCCATTTCTACACACAGTTTGGTTTGACTGTTAAATTGGATAATAGTAATGTACCGTGTCTCTTGCAGATGGTGAGTTCAGAGCGTCGGCGATTGCCGAGTTTGTTTCGGCCAACAAAATCCCATTGATCACCACACTCACACAGGAGACCGCCCCTGCGATTTTCGATAATCCGATCAAGAAGCAAGTATGCCATGCTGTCTGCCTTGGGGTTATATTTTCATCACGTACTCGGCCCATGTATCACTCCTTTACTGATCTGCTGTCTTCTAATTTCGAAATCAGATTTTGCTATTCGCTGTTGCGAAGGAGTCCTCAAAATTTCTGCCCATCATCAAGGAAACAGCAAAATCATTCAAGGGGAAGGTATTTTTTCTGTTGATCGGACCAGTGTTTAATGAACTTTTTCCTCTGTCGTGTTCCACGTTTTATACTCAAATCCAAGGCATAACTTATTTCCTTTCTAACTCGTGTGTTTGCTGAGGTGGGGTCTCACTAAGCGCTGATGTGGCCTGTGTCTCAAATGCAGCTTTTATTTGTCTTTGTGGAGCGTGACAATGAGGAAGTTGGCGAACCTGTTGCCAATTACTTTGGAATTACTGCACAAGAGACCACAGTAATGCCTCTTAGTTTTTTTCATGTTTGTCTATGCATTGATTTATTGCACAGAAACAGAATGCAGCAACTTGACTTTGATTTTAATGTGTCTCCTCTTTCTGTTTTGTACATTCTGATTCGATTACTTTGCAGGTTCTTGCTTACACTGGGAATGAAGACGCTAAGAAGTTCTTCTTCAGTGGTGAAATATCACTGGACACCATTAAGGTAATTGCTTAAAATATTTTTTGCAAATTCAGTACTACTCCCTCCGTTCCAAAATAGATGACCCAACTTTGTACTAGCTTTGTACTAAAGTTAGTACAAAGTTGAGTCATCTATTTTGGAACGGAGGGAGTAGATTGGAAGTAAAATCATAAGAGTGTGGTCAACAGTTGCAAGAGAATATACTATCTTAGCAATTTATAAGCTGACGAACATGTTTTTGCTTTTTTTATTGTTGGATTTGTGCTGTTCTTCTTTACCATTGCATATTTATACTTAATCTTGAACTGTATGTTGCTTGAGAAACTTGCATATGCATGTACATTTCTCATCTTTTGCCAAACAAGCACTTGTCTGTAGAAGATGCTTTATTAACCACTATAATCATTGCCGTTTTGTCATTGCTGATGTGGAGGTTCTGCTAGTAGTAGGGAGAATGGTATCAAGTATCATTGTTCGAGAAATACAATGTTCCTTCAAATAATTCCTCCTCATTTTTCGGGATACACAGGAATTTGCTCATGATTTCCTGGAGGACAAGCTCACACCATCCTACAAGTCTGACCCAGTACCTCAATCCGTGAGTCGAGAAGAATTATCTGTTAACTACTTTCTCTATCATTATTTACACGACAATAAGACATTCTCTGTGTTCCCATGCAGAATGATGAGGATGTCAAAGTTGTTGTTGGCAAGAGTCTAGATCAAATAGTTCTGGATGAATCAAAAGATGTCCTTTTGGAGGTAAGTTCAGTTCTTGCCAGGTACGTATTTGAGAAGATAAAAATTGTGTGTTGCCCTTAACGCCTCATCATTTTGGACGCAGGTATATGCGCCATGGTGTGGGCATTGTCAGTCACTGGAGCCTATCTACAACAAGCTGGCCAAGTATCTCCGTGGGATTGACTCCCTTGTAATAGCCAAAATGGACGGCACAAACAATGAGCATCCTCGTGCCAAGGTCTGTGTCGCTGTCCATTGACTTTGATAGTCTCCCTACTGTTTTCTTCTAACTGGATATTACTTGCTAAACTAGTCTGTGCGGGGCCATCAATAGTCACAGAGCATGTACATGCATTTTATGTGAAACAATGCTAGTTGTAAAACAAGTGGAAGTTATTTTCACCATTTCTTCACTTATATTCACTTAAATTTGCAGTTGCGATTGTTTATGGTGCACAGAAAGTATAGATTCATTATCTGTCTGCTGCCATCTACTATATGCTAAATATATTTATTTCACACCTTTTTATCTATGCGCTACAGTATCATGGTACAGCTTGTCTACCGGGCTAAAGAGGTAACCCAGCCCTTGCGTAGCAAAGTATTTGCGATTGTTTATGGTGCACAGAAAGTATAGATTCATTATCTGTCTGCTGCCATCTACTATATGCTAAATATATTTATTTCACACCTTTTTATCTATGCGCTACAGTATCATGGTACAGCTTGTCTACCGGGCTAAAGAGGTAACCCAGCCCTTGCGTAGCAAAGTATTAATAGGCTATTGCCAGATTTGAATGACATGCTGTTAGGGGTTAGAGATAAGTTAATTTGGGAAATGGGTCATATTTGGCAAGACAGATTTGGTTAGGAAGATAGAGACAAGAGCTTGAGTCTTGTGGGACAAGTCGAGCTGAGCCTCGGAGACGAGCACTGTCGCCGGGTTGTTGAAGGATAGTGCCATGTCCCCCGGTTATCTCGCTGAGTTGGAGGCCCATATCATCTTGAAATAGTGCAACAGTATTTTTTATGTATATAGTATTAAATAGCGTGTGGGGAAGCTCGCACTCTTCTATTTTTGGTGTGGCACTATGATTATCACACTGTTACATTTTGAAGCTGTATTTCATTTAGCTCTGTTTCCCTTTTAATTATCTTTCGTGAGTTGAGACATTGAAAATATAGATGCTCGGTTTCCGTTCACTACCATGTAGAATATGCAGAATACGGATGGAATTGACACTTGCTTCCTGTTACAGCCTGATGGATTCCCCACGATACTCTTCTATCCAGCTGGGAAGAAAAGCTTTGAGCCTGTAAGTGCTTATGTATACATGATGTTTCACTTCTTATTTTGCGACACATCTGTCCGTTACTATGAGTTGTCTTTCAGTTGATAGCAATCACATTATCCTCGCCTCTCTCCTTAATAGGCTTCTCAGCAATGCTATCATCTATGCTTCCTTAGAGCTGTCCCTAGACTTAAACCCAGCTAAAATATTCTTCTTTAGGTTGAGTGCACAATTAAAGCTGCTGATGTGTTCATGCTTACATCTCTGCAAATTTTGTGTGTATGCTATTGTAGATGTTTTAGAATTGGTCATGCCCTGTGATTTTGTGTAATGGTAGTTGTAGATTCAGTGGACAACTAGCTAAGCTCATGGGTGGAGCTGGAATGGCGCTACGGGGTTTTAGTCAACTGGGAAACCTGATGTACTGATTCAATTTGCTGGCTGAACTTTGCAGATAACTTTCGAGGGGGGCCGGACGGTGGTGGAGATGTACAAGTTCCTCAAGAAGCATGCCGCCATCCCATTCAAGCTGAAGCGCCCGGACTCGTCAGCGGCACGGACCGACAGCGCTGAGGACCCAGGTTCCTCAACCAAAGGCGAGAAGAGCTCCGGTTCGAACCCGAAGGACGAGTTGTAGAGGATTTACATACACCATTGACAAGTACGAGGTGCTGCTGTCGAAAGCAGGAGGTGGAGAACAAATAGCTAGGTATCAACTCGGGCCGTTGGAAGTGTATGATGTGAATGCAAATATTAGAGTAGAATCCATTAAAAGCAAGAAGTCCTTTGCTTACATCTTGTTCCGTATCTTCAAACTAGATATATTCATACTCAAAATCTGAGAGAACCAAGGGTAGCCCACAGGTAGCTGGCTACATACATACAGTAAGAAAGTACGCCCCCCTGTAAACGTCTTGTAAAAGTTTACAGAGGGAGACGTGGAGTTTCTACACCCAGGAGCACAAATGCTCCTGGTGTGAACAGTAAAATAAAAAAATCTGAAATTTATTTGCGACATACTTTCACAAATGTTTGTGGTGCATGCAAAATTTCATCACAAAATCACATTGGTGGAAGGCATGGTAAAAAAACAAAATCGATGCTCTGAAAATGTTACTTACAAAAACATTTTTGAGCTTCGATTTTGTATTTTTTGGCACGACTTCCACCAATGTGATTTCGCGATGATTTTTTGCGTGCACGACAAACATTTGTGGAAGTATGTCACAAAAAAATCAGAATTTTTTGAATTTTTTAGATTTTACTATTCATGCCAGCATTTGCTCCTAGGTATAGAAAGGCACTTTGGCCAAAGCACGGCAAGATAGAGTGGAGTTAAGGAGCCGATACTTCTATTGGCAGTAAGGACAGGCCGTAAAATAATTTTACGTCCTTTTCAAAGAAATAGGGCTCAACTATCAAAAAAATTGTTTGGTTTTCTTATAATGTTTATAATGTTCAAAAAAAATAACAATTTAAGTTCGCGTTTTTCAAAAAATGCTCACAGGTACTGAAATGCTTGAAACATTTTTTCTGTTTTTAAAAATTGTTATCAAATGCTAATCATCTCTAAATAACGGTGAAACACGTACTCGACTAGGGGAAAAAGAAACAAACAAGTAAATAAGAATGCAGAGAACCAATTCAACTAGCGACACTACTTCAGCAAACAGAACAAGTAACAAATGCAAAGCACAGCAAAAATCAGAATGCAAATAAGAATCAGGCAACACAAATCGCAGGCATAAATAAAAGGCATTCATCAGCTGTAAAGTCTTCTCTGCCAAATATATAAACAGGAACTGTCGCATCATCTCGGTAAAACCCTCAAGCATCCGCAGACTGTCAGCCACCGCAGGTTCGCTACCACTACTTACTACCAACATGTAATAAAAAGCCAGGCATGACATATCCCACATCCAACAAGCGTCTCTGCGCGCTAGTATCGCCAACCGACAACACACGCATGTCTCTCGATGCCAAAAAGACACTGCCAACACTTAACCAGAGTTTTTTGTCCTGCTGATGATCGCAAAACCATCGGTCACGAGGGCGGGCTCAGGGGGCGTTCACCGGTTCCCGTTCATCTTGGCCATCATCTTGGCTATGATGGGCCCCACCTTCGGGTTCGCCTGGTGCTTGGCCAAGTTGGCAGGGTTGCTCATCACTGCACCAAACAGAGGGTCAGGTCACTGCAAAGGAAGTATCGAACAAGAACAACATAGGCTAAAGCAGCTAAAGAAAACAACCCTAAAGCAGCAGGCATATAAGCAGAGATTACAGTTCTTGTGAGCATTATATCAAAGTTTAGATATTACAATTCGTATAAGCCTTATATCCAAGTTTAAGAATACGCAAGGTTAGATTTAGTGTAGCTCATATAAAATGGTACCTCCCATCTAAATATTTGAGCCATGCAATACTACCCTGACGAGTAAGAAAGTACAGGACCAGAACAATGTAGCCTACAGCAGTTCTCACACACAACCCTAAAGCAGCAAATACATCGTGATACAAGCAAACGGTTATGTCCTAACAACGAGAACTTTCACTAGACATGGATGCATACAAGGAATGTTGATACCATGAGTACTAACTTGAATTATTAGAATATATCTACTAATCTAGTAGTATAAGAATAAAGATATCGTCAAACGCATCACATAAAGTGGCCTCTAGTGATAAAAAATTATCTGCCGCACCAGATTTCAGGATTGAGCGTACATCACTAGCATGCTTGCATGTTCAGAATATTCAATCAAACTAATCCGCACCTTGCATAACTCACCAAATATGCCCACTGTACTCCAAAAACAGACTAAATACTCCCTCCGTTCGGAAATACTTGTCAACAAAATGAACAAAAAGGGATGTATCTAGATGTATATTAGTTCTAGATACAGCCCTTTTTATCTATTTTGATGACAAGTATTTTCGGACGGAGGGACTATGCAAAGAAATATGTTGCACTTATGACCACTGCTATTATTAAGAGAATTTATATTCAATCAGCTGTTTTCCAGTACCAGGACTTGACCAGGAAGATCAACTACAACAGGCAACTGTACTATAAAGTAAATGGGGATTAGAGAACTATTTGAGTAGAAAACTGTACCATCTTGAAGGGCCGCCATAACCTCTGGGTCACCAAATGCTGCCATCAGGTCAGGGTCCTGTTTCAAAGAGAAGAAAGAAGAACATTGTGTAAAACAGGTTTCTCCAGTATCAAGAGTTATGGTTACAAGGAAGACAGGCAGACACTGGGCAAGCACTTACATTCAAGATGTCACCCATATCAACATTCCCGGGAGCACCTCCCGCTCCAGGCATACCACCTCCCATTCCTCTGCCACCGCCCATTCCAGGCATACCACCTCCCATTCCAGCGGGCATACCGCCCCCCATTCCTGCGGGCATACCTCCACCCATTCCTGCGGGCATACCTCCACCCATTCCTCCAGGGAAACCACCCCCCATTCCTCCAGGGAAACCACCAGGCATTCCTCCGGGGAAGCCACCAGGCATTCCACCCATGCCTCCTGGGAATGGGAAGCCACCGGGCATTCCACCAGGCATGCCTCCTGAAGAGCGGCTTGATGATTGCTCCTTCCTCTTGGCCTTCTCGTAAGCAGCCTGTCAAAAACCTTCAGTATGAATACTAAACAGTATACCTGGAAATCTCCTACCACAAGTGGAAAAAATTAGTATGATGATGAACCCACCTGTGCCTCGGCACGGCGACGAAGCCTGTCACGCTCAGCTTTCTTCTCCGCCCTCTCTTTCCTCAGCCTGTCATACTTCCTGCGATGCTCCACTATCTTGTGTGCATTAGGCTCCACCTGCAAGGTCACCAGCATCAGTATCGCTGATATGAGCATATGCGTTGTGTCCAAACATATAGATAGGACATAGTTGATGCAACAACATCCCACCTTCTTGAGCACAGCATTGATCTCATCATCATAGTCAATGTTTGACGCGGCATGCAGATCACGAGCAGCTTCCTCCCACTTGCCAAGCATAGCATTAGCCATTCCACGGGTCTTGTAGCCCTTTGCGGAGTCTGGGTTGATCTGAAAGAAATACATAACAGAAGGACGGGTAATATCAGATAAAAGAGCATCATGCCCTGTTTGCAATCAACATAAATGCTGTATACTTAACCCATCCCTTTACACTCCAGAAACCTCTGCATCTAGACCGCATGTATGGTGCATGAGACAGAACAGGGCAGTAAAATAAAGGGACAGAAGGGGAACAGAATCATCACCTCTAGAGCAGCGTTCGCATCACGGATGGCGGCAGCAGGCTTCTTCATTTTGATGAACACAGATGCTGCACAAAACACAAGGATTCCACAACCCAGTCAGGTGCTGCTAGTTACATGGGCAGCAAGTAAATGAAGTTTTGCTGACAGTGGATTCAACCGACATAAGGAATGTTTCTGTAGAGCAACAAGAGGAGAGAATGCATGAGTGGCAGTCACATCATTTATACCTCTAGTACCGTACATGATTGCCGAGGTTGGATTCAGCAGTATAGCCTTGGTGAGATGCTCGACGGCCTCTTCCAGTTTCCCTGACAAATTATAGTAACACAGAGCAACGCGGATTAGAGAACAAAGGAACAGAGCTGATGCCAGCCAGCCAGCTAGCACATAGGCAGGCAAACAACAAGGCAAGAGTGAGTACTACCTTCTGACATTGCTTCCATTGCCTGGCCCTTTGCTTCCTGCGAGGCGTCACGGCTCTCCTCGGTCACCTCGACGGAAGAGTCTCCCATCTGTCAAACAAAATCAGCACATCGGTCAAGGGATGTGGTAAGGGCTGAGATACAGCTGTATTGAAGAGGTAATCGCGCACTAGAAGAAGCTACTACATTATGCAGAACTGGACTAGAACAGGGCACTGAAGCCGTAAGATGACAACAATCTAGCCATCTAGTGCAAGGCAGCAGGATTTCGCCAGAGGAAGTTGGCACATTTCTTGAAGCCGGTCAGTCTACTGTGATGCGAGTCCAAGAACAGGAGCAATAACTAGTGCTTGCTGTGATGCGAGTTGACCGCGAATCTGGACTAGCAGAGCAGAGCGGCGATGGAAACAAGGAAGCAGATGATGGGGGTAAACAGAACAGGGGACCTTCTGTGGCGCGTCGTCGTGGTCGGGGTGGACGACGCCGTCGTCGTCGAGCTCGAGGTCGGACTCGACGATCTCCTCATCCAGCTCGTCGGGCTCGGGGGTGGGGTCGCGCATGTCCTGGTCGTCCTCCTCCCCCTCCTCGTCCTCCTCGTCGTCGTCGTCGATGTCGTCCATGGACCTCGCCTGCCGGTCCAAATCCAACCCAGTAATCAGATCGGGCAAACAAGGAAAGGGAACAGAGGATCGGGGCCGGGGAAGGGGCGGAAGATCGGACCTTGGGCGCGGGCTTGGCGGACGAGCCGGCGGCGGCGGCGGGGAGGGTGGCGCCTAGGGAGGCGAGGTAGTCGCGGAAGAAGGCGAGGGCCGGGTCGGCGAGGATGGCCGGGTCCTTCTTGCACGCCTCCACGAAGGAGCGCAGCTCGCCCAGCTTGGACGGATCCATGGCCGCTCTGGAGCTCTCGCTAGGGTTAGGGTTTCTCCTCCCTCCCTTCCTTCCTTC